GTTTTGGTGTGTTGGTGTGTTAAGAGTTTAGGAAAATAGTTAAAAGTATGGAAAAAATGTTCTTAGCAAATGAAAAAACAGTAATGATCATCACAACAAGGTGGCTCATAAGTCAGAAGACCAAAGCACGTTTAGGGCTTCTGGGTATTTGTTTGGCGTTTGAGTGTTGTGTCACATGTGTGTATCTTGAGTGTTGTGTTGTGTTTGAGTGTTGTGTTAAATGTTTGTATCTTGAGTGTTGTGTTGTGTTTGAGTGTTGTGTTAAATGTTTGTATCTTGAGTGTTGTGTTGTGTTTGAGTGTTGTGTTTGAGTGTTGTATCTTGAGTGTTGTGTTTGAGTGTTGTGTTAAATGTTTGTATCTTGAGTGTTGTGTTGTGTTTGAGTGTTGTGTTAAATGTTTGTATCTTGAGTGTTGTGTTGTGTTTGAGTATTGTGTCTTGAGTGTTGTGTTGTGTTTGAGTGTTGTGTTAAATGTGTGTATCTTGAGTGTTGTGTTGTGTTTGAGTGTTGTGTTAAATGTTTGTATCTTGAGTGTTGTGTTGTGTTTGAGTGTTGTGTCAAATGTGTGTATCTTGAGTGTTGTGTTGTGTTTGAGTGTTGTGTTAAATGTTTGTATCTTGAGTGTTGTGTTGTGTTTGAGTGTTGTGTTTGAGTGTTGTATCTTGAGTGTTGTGTTTGAGTGTTGTGTTAAATGTTTGTATCTTGAGTGTTGTGTTGTGTTTGAGTGTTGTGTCACATGTGTGTATCTTGAGTGTTGTGTTGTGTTTGAGTGTTGTGTTAAATGTGTGTATCTTGAGTGTTGTGTTGTGTTTGAGTGTTGTATCTTGAGTGTTGTGTTAAATGTGTGTATCTTGAGTGTTGTGTTGTGTTTGAGTGTTGTGTTAAATGTTTGTATCTTTGTTTCTTGTCTTAATTTTTGTGCCGCTGTGATGCAAGACAAATTTCAATAAATTATCATCTAATCTAATCAAGTCATAAATGTGTACCATTAAACTGAAACCTCTGCAACACCATACATAGTTCTGAAAAGGTTCTTGACGTACTGTAGGCACGTTTATTTACTGAGATGGGGGGGTACAAAAGTACAGTGACGTCACTTCGCGTCAGTATGCAGAAGAAAGAGAAAGGGGGTCTTATCTCGCGCGTGGCCAGAGCAACAAACCAGTCTGCCGCCAGAGAGGAGGACAGACCAAACTAATCCAACTCTTTGTTTCCTCTTAATGAAATCCAAACCAAGACAACATGGAGGGTAACTCCACGCGCTGCTACTGATTGTTACCGGAAGCTTTGAAACATGTGAGAGTCACGAGCTTTACCTGTTACTGTATGAACGGTAAGTCAAATGTTTACATTGTTAACTTGTTGTTGTTGATCTACTCAGTCTTTGCTCTGCTGCACAGTTTGATGTGTTTGTGCTGTTCTTCGTGGTCTAAGATGATAGAAATTGTACAACTTCAAAAAGAGAAAGTTTTGGAGACCATGGGCTAAACTAAACCTTGAAATCCCGCATCCTGCTCATCGTTTGACAAATAATACAGTACAAAAAAAAAAGACAAATGGGAGAAAATAGAGAGATAGATATGCTGAGTTAGTAATGTGTTGTGATTTTTTAAACATTTCTATATTCTAGTGTGGATCACTGAAACATCGAGTCGTCTTGTTCAGATTAAGTAGTTTTCACTTTCAGCACCTCGGACAGCGCCCGTTCACTCAGGTAGTAAGTACGTATATCTACCACCAGGGGGCAGCACGAGTCCCTCATATTTCAGGATCCCCCAAGTTTTAAATTTGAACCAAAAGAAAACTAAAAGCAGACTGAGTGTTACTCATAGATGTGATGAACACACGTTTAAGCATATCATAAGACTTACATCAACTAGAAATGTTTTAAAAGTGAGCAGATTATTATTATTATTATTATTATTATTATTATTAATAATAATAATAATAATAATAATTAATAATATAATATTAATAATATAATATTAATAATAATAATAATAATAATAATAACTTTATTTCTATAGCACCTTTTAAAAACACAGGTTTACAAAGTGCTTTGACAAACAGCAAAAACAAGAATAAACTAAACCAAACACAGAAAAACATAAACAACAACAAGAACATAACAAATGCAAAATACTAAAAATAACATATATAGACATATATATATATATATATATATATACATAGACATATAGAACCAGACCATCACAAGAACCATCACAAGAACCATCACAAGAACCCAACAACACGAGCTGAGACCAAGAGGAACCAAAGATTTAAAAAGATGTAAGAAACTAAAAGAGCTAAAAGCAAATGAAAAGAGAACAGCAATAAGAAGGTAAGAGCAGGAAGAGAAACAAGTGAATCAATTATCAAAAAAAAAATTAAAAATTTTAAAATAAAATAAACCCATCACGTGATTGTGCTTTTTAGGGTTCTAAGAGTAAACGTTAATATTTTTTTTCAGGATCTTTCTGACCTGAGGACCAGATCATGATGCTCAGTCCTGACCGGCTGGACCAGTCCTGGACTCAAGCAGACACTATGAACCTGCAGTGTGGCTCTACATCTGTCAAACGCGGAGCTCGAGAGGACGAGGCGCCGTGCTCCCTGGTGCACGCGCCCTCTCTCAACAAGGAAGAGAGAAGGAGGAGGCGGCGTGCGACAACTAAATATCGATCCGCGCACGCCACCAGGGAGCGTGTCCGCGTTGTAGCCTTCAATGTGGCCTTTACAGAACTGAGAAGATTACTACCGACCCTCCCACCTGACAAGAAGCTATCCAAGATTGAGATCCTGAGACTCGCGATTTGTTACATCTCTTACCTCAAGCACGTGCTGGATGTGTAGGCTGGACTGAGGCAGGAGGACTGTGTGTGGTCAGCTATGATGATGACAGATGAATGATGATACCTCACCTGAGGACTAAAATGTGGGTCATGAGGTCAAATAGTTTGAGTGGCCCCACAATGAAGATCAGTCTTACTGACTCCAAAGGGATGAAAAGATGAGGCTGTGTTTTATATCTGTGCAGCCAAACCTGATATTTGCTGCCTTGTTTTAAGTTCTGGTCACATCTGCTTTCACTTTGTGTTCATTTTGCACCAATTTGTGAATACATCCATCTCTTTCAAATCGATATTAGACTTCCAGACTTTTGCTTTCTTACAGCGTGTGATACGATCAATTTAAAATTCATAAATTACAAATAACCCTGACAGCTAATAAATGTTTTAAAAACCTCTTTGATGCTGCTTTGATTTTTTTTAAAAGATAATATCAGATTTGTAGGCATCATCACATGTCATGTTAAAACATTTCTTTTTGCGCCTGGCAGTTTTTCTTCTCCTTCATTTGAGCTCTTTTTTATTTCAAGTGTATCCATGTGAGCTGTTTTTCTTGGGGCAGGTCGTCTTCCTCCACATGAACAAAAATGACCATATCATGTTTGTAGTGGCTATTTGTCCAAAAACAAAACAAAATCTAAATAAACTAATATCAAACTTAAACAAAGGACCACTGATGCACCATGGGGATGTGATGTACGCAGGCAAAAGAAATCCAACGTTCATGCAAGAGATCTGCAGTTTATTTGATGGTTTATTTAGTTCAAAAGAAAAGCAAACAAAAGAACAAAGATAATCATGTCTCCTGCTGCCTCTCATAGGCCCACCCAGGTGCATGCTGGTCCTCTACCTGCCTCTGGTGCCCACAGTGTTACCCAAATACCTAACAAAACACTAATGCGAAACTAAATTTACTGAACAAATAACTAGCAATTCTAACAACAATTAAATAGCTCCAACACTGTTGATAAGTCTGAATTCTTTATGGAGACGTGCACATGCAGCTGCAGAGACAAACAAATGAGGCAGGTATTTGAAAGCATATAAGAAACATACAATTGTGTAGCTGATGCCATTTCTAGTTGCAGTGATGGTGACAGTGTGCAAAGTACTAATCTTGGAATATTTTCCATTTGTCAGCAGCTCACATTCAAAGACCATCCTTTTCATTTGAACATCAGGAATGTCTTTTATTTTAATTTGTGTTTTATATTTTGTCTTATGTAAAGATTAATTTCACTCATAAACTGTTATCTGGAGAGAAAAAAGAAATCTCTGAACATTTGAGGGTTTTCTCTGTGCTTTGATATTCTCTCCGGGCTGTGCACATTACCACAGAGAGCTTTATTATTTCTGTATGAGATCAGAATGTGGATATAAACCTCCTGCATGTTCCCTTTTCATTTCTCTCTCCATTAGTCAGAAGCTCTCTCTCTCGTCCCTTTATGTGCGTCTCTGTGGTGTAATGCAGCCCGAGGGGCTTCGAGGTATTGTTCATGTCCACTCCAGCAGCAGGAGTGACAGCCCTTTGTCTACACACTGCACAAAACACACAACGGGACTACACACTGGGTACAATAGTTGGGGAGAGAGGCCGGGGTCTAACGTCAGATTTTTGAGATAAATGGAGCAGGGGAAGTTGTTGTTGTTAATGTTCTGTAGTTAAGCCAATGTGGGTCAAATTCAACAACTAAAGGCAACAAGCAAGTGTGTGTACAGCTCGGTCACTCATACACACAGGTGTCTGAGACTACATTTGGATTTCTCTGTTAGGTTTAGTTTTTTTATATCAGTAGGACGTGAGCTGTGGTTTGATTTCATTCTGGACATTTCCTCTTTAAAGGCTTTATATGTGATGTTTTGATCCAGCAGATGTCGCCCTTGAGCACCAGCATGAAACCAAAACAACTGGCGCTGCATTGTTGTGTTAGCATGCTAATGCTAGTGATCTTTATTATGCTGGTATCTTCACACTGCATGTAAATTTACCTGAAATGAGCGTGATCTAGAAACACAGTTAAGCAGTGAGTACAGTATGTTATTCTTCTTTTCTCTAGTCCCTCAATTAAACAACTTTTATACACGAGGGGAGGAGTCAGCCGGCCGTCCTGGCGATGTAAACAAAGTGAAGATAGGACTCTGAAAACTGTGAAAACATCACAGACAGTGGGACTCGGGTGTTACACCCATTGTAGACAGTCATGACTCACAGAGTTATTTTCAGAGGATAAACTTGATTTCTACATTTCAGTGTGAAAAATCACAGATTAAGACTTTAACACTCAACACTGCCTGCAAAAATGTTCCTCAGATGTTTCCTGCAGGGCTCTTGAGGAACAGCACTGCCCTCTTATGGACTTTGATTGACAGAAATTTAACTTTTTTACACCATTGGCCTCAGAAGCTACACAGCAAAATCTCTAGAGGCCTTTTGAGACTTTAATATAAGTCGGTGTATTGTGGCCTCTGTGCCTTTTTATTTTAAACTCATTATTTGTTTTACAAATAATTTAAAAACTATTGACATCAGTTTTTTGGCTGTGTCATGGAGGTATTACTGTACTTGTCAGATGCATGGCTGTATTGTAATAAGCTGTTGTTAGTTGTTCTGATATCACATGAGATTCACCTGCAGATCAAGGTTTTTTTGTTGTTTGGGGCTGGAGAGCTATGAAATAATACATGTTGGAAGAAAAGATACAATGCAGACAGAAATTTGAACTGTTTAAGACTGAATATGATTGAGAGCACAGGGAATTCTTTTTTTGCTCTCAATCCTATTCAGTCTTAAACACAAAGTAAATATGTAAATTAAGTGGGCCGTCCTAACATTACTGAAGTAGGATTGGTCAATTTTGAAAAACAGACAGAAGCAAATTTACATAAATACTTTTCCTCTTACGACCTGGACACAGAAATAAATAGATGTGTAAATGTAAAAATACGGAAATAAATTAATAACTCAATTAATGTGGAAATGTATGCATTGATACATATATAACTGTAGAAATACACTAATAAATTAATAAATACATGTACAAATATATAAATAGCCTTTTTCATTAACAAAGTGTATTTATTATTTATTCACTGATGTATTGTTTTCAGCATTTATAGATTTATTTATATATTTATTGATGCATTTATTTAATCATTTATTTATTTATACATTATTGTATGCATTTCTCCCAACATTCATTTATTTATTTATTAATTTTTACTTTAGTCATTTTTTTGTCCCTCATACAAATGACCCTCGGCACGTTACAAAAGCACTCTTTTTTCTTTTTTTTTTACGAGAGGAATGATTTGAAACTATCCACACCTAACGTAAACTACGCCCTCTTGTGGCCTTAAGCAGGAAATACACCCTTCAGTGCACTTGACGTGTAACTGTACCTCCATGCTGCCTCCCTCTTCTGATACCACTAACCACAATGGCCAGGCTCGGGTGAGGAGCTGCCTCTCAGACGAGCCTCAGCAGAATCAGGAGCGGCGGCACATTCACCGAGAGGCCCGCGGAGGGATATGACACCCATGTGAGAGGAGAAAGGTAGGTGAATGACTTGAAAAATGGCGATGCTGTGTGCTCTTTCGCCGGCTGTATCTCTTTCCAGAAGCAGGAGCCACATCCCCGCTCAGGAATTACTGATGAAGTTCAATCCTGCCGTGGTGGAAAAATGGTTTCCTTTCTCATCAGGCGGATGGAGACGTTAGTCCGCTAACCTGTATTTATGAAGCTTGCAGTAGGACTTTTAACCTTACAACCCTGATTCAGTACCTGTGTTTTTACAGGGCAGTATTTGAGGTGATCGTAGCTTTAGAACCTGCCGTGGTTCAGGGTGTTGAGGATGTGACTAAAAGGAGAGGTAGCCCATTGTAAGCGTGCTCTGTGTAACAGGGAGTAACGTCACACCTTCTGAGATCTACTACCCCAATATTAAAAAGCCTTTTCACACCAGCTGCAGTCTCAGGTTGATGCTGTGTGTGTGTGTGTGTGTGTGTCCATCATCACTTTATCACAGCTGGATGAGGTGCTGCTCTGACCGAACCCCCCCCCCCCCCTCCCTCAGGACCTCAGAGTCATGATGCTGCAGTGTAACCGTGCAGCACATTTATTATTGAGCAGTGCTGAAAGGTCCTGTGTGCAGAGAGGTGTGAGGACGATGCATGAGTCACTCCCTGGGACTACATTCTGATCCAAGAAAGTGTTTTTTTTGGTCACTGTTCTCTTTTAAAAACATGTTATCTGGGGGGGGGGGGGGCAGTGTGTCACAAGTGTAATGAAAAAGGGAGCGACCTTAAGGGTGCCTGAGAGGATCCTTAAGGCTTGGATAGTAAGGTGTAATGCATGATGCATTGAGAGTGGTGTACGTATTTACAGATATAAAAAGCTCCACTCTGAAAGCAGGAATGTTTGGTGGTGATATTTCTCCCTCTCTCTCTCTCTCTCTCTCTCTCTCTCTCTCTCTCTCTCTCTCTCTCTCTCTCTCTCTCTCTCTCTCTCTCTCTCTCTCTCTCTCTCTCGCTCTACTGTACTTTTGTTTAGTTCCACATGAGTGGATCAGAGTTTGCATTCCAGAGAATTGTGTCAGGTCTTAACTTTCTCCTTTTACTGCAGGTTGAGTGTGTGTGTGTGTGTGTGTGTGTGTGTGTGTGTGTGTGTGTGCGTGCTGCATGGTGGGAGTGGCTGAGAGACTCTTATCCATCCAGTCACTCAAAGGTCACAGATTCACTCTCAGCACATGTCAAACAAAATCCCTTTTTTTTTTTTTTACAAAGAATCAAAGATGGCAGAGACGATGTTAGGAGGAGGATACACAAGAAACAAAGTCTCTGAACGATCAATCATCCTCGTGGTTGGTTTTCAAAATTAGAAAAAAAAAAATATCGTTTTACTTTTTGTTAATCTTTGTCTCAGTTTGAGGGATATTACTCGATCAGCAGAGATGTTAGCTTCTATCACATTAACCAGCAGCTGTTGTTGTTGTGGGTTATTTGGGGCCCATGTAGGGATTGGAGAGAGAGTTATTACTGTGAATAACCCGTTCTTTAACTAGATTTTTAAAGGACTGTGTTTGTCTGTCTTTGATGTATTTACACTGAAACATGATTAAATGTCAAATTCAGCTTCATATGTTGATTGAAAATAATTTAAACATTTTAATAAGGGGTTAATTATTGATGAAGATGTACACAATTCAGTAATTTGAGGTCCTTCAGTTTGACTTTTTGCCATTTTTTTTATCTTCTGCAACTTTGCAATGTGTAAACAGATGATTAAACCAACAGCTCACTCAGAAAATGATTTTTTTAGTGTGCAGATTGCTTTCAATTGTTGAAAGAAACAAATGAATAAAGGAAGTAAAGTAACCCAGCAGACTGCACCAGCTGCTGCATCTGGCAGATTATGGCATGATGCCACCAGAGTGGAGCACACATGAAGGGAGGATGGTAGAGGGCTGATGGGTGTGATGGAGGTCACAGATGCGTTGGTACCCGGGCGCTGGCTGGAGCTCGATAGATGAGCTATGAGAAGTGATTTTCACCATTCACGGTGCCAACAGTGTATCTTTACTGGAGTCTCAAATTCCACTCTACATGCACTCTGTGAGTAGATACACACACTAAGAGTCCACTGCACAGCTCCTACATCACACCTTCTGTACATTTTGTGTTTTTTATATTTTATATTTTACATTTTTTAATTCTATTTTATATATTGTAATATCTTCTTATTCTGTATTATTTAAGTTGTTGTTAGTTCTGTTTTATTTCCTTGTTAATTGTTTAGCACCAATACACCAAGTCAAATTCCTTTATGTGTAAATGTACTTGGCAATAAACCCAGATTCTGATTCTGATTCTGATTCTGATTCTGATTCTGATCTTTGGTTTTCCCAGATTTTAATTCAATTCAATTCAAAAAACTTTATTTGTCCCCGGGGGGCAATTCAAAGACACACAGAGCAGTAAATTAACAACAGTGCAAATAAACGAAACATTTACAACTAAAAGCTTAAACTTAACTTAAAAATACAAAATATAAAAGAGTAGATATAAGTGGACAGTGATCGGACTAACAGATGTAACCATAACTATGTGCAGTAAATGATAAATAAATATATATATACAGAGCTATGTGCAAGTAGGCAAATACTAAATGATAAGTTATAAGGTGCATGGTGAATAATGGAACAACAGAACTAATATATACAATATAACTGTAAAAGGTAAAATAAGGTAACTTTGAGGGCAAAAATCGTTGAAGTCAAGGAGTTAAACTCAAATTCCACATTCTTAGCTTCATTATTTATTCATGAGCTGGATCAGAAAAAGAATCTGACCTATCAGATATTAAAGCTCCCCCAAAGGAGACCAACATATTTGTGTATAAAAATGCATCCCCCCCACATGTGCTTGACCATGCGTAATTACAGTATCACCCACAGTACAGCACCCACTAAACAAACACACTAATGAGTGTTTGTTTTACATTAGTGTCACTTTCTGCCCTGCTGAGTCTCTTCTCCGTGCAGCCGAGCAGAACGATCTGCAGCCGAGCAGACACGCTTCACTGCTCGATCCCTTTCCTCCACAGAGAGTCCCCTGAATCAGAGGACAACTGGATTTTTTTTGGGGGGGGGGTTAGGGTTGTAGTGCCTCATGGCCTCTAACAGACGTTGTTATCCCTGCATGCTTTATTCATAGTTAGCCTCGGTTTGTAACTGATAGTTTTTCTTACCCCGTGGCTGCGATTTTCCACATGGCCTGGTTCTCTGTGCCTCTTCAAGCTCGTTCTCGAGCTCGAGGAGGAGTGCCCCCCCTCGGAGGAGTGCCCCCCCCTCGGAGGACTCGTCTTGGCCCACATACCGCTGCCACGCGTCCAGAGTTCAGCACTCAAAGGAGGTTAACGGCTTTTATCTAAATCATAGGGGTCATTCATTTAACCAAGCGGGTGCTGGGTGTGAAGAGGGGGCCATTGTTTGTGCCCTCTCACTGTGCAACCCCCACTACCACCAATACCCCCCCCCCCTCACATATTAGCCTATCGCTCAAATTTACTCTCTGCAGGGGTGATTGATCATTGCAGCTAGATGGGGGCCCTCCTGCCTTTTGTTGTTGCCATGGTAACAGTGGACGCTCCAGATGTGTGTTAAGAGATGAAAGATTTGATTCTCCTCTGCCCCTTGTTTAAAATTTGATGCTGTGAGATCAGCTTTTGATGCAGTGAGCGACATGTTTCATGAAATCAGTTCTTTTATTCTCGTATATATATTTATATATAAACAGCTCTGGTCTTGTTCTACATATGTTCCCCTGCTTTTAATATCATGTGTGGCTGCAGGTGGAGAGTGATGATGTTTAGTGTGTCATAATGTGTTTTTTTATGTTTTGAGTTTCCCTTGTGTGTTAATGTTTCCTTGTGTTGATGGGTTCCTCAGTTTGTCTTCAGTGTTTCCTGTTTTATTTTGTAGTTTCTTATTGTTGTGTTTCTTTGTTCTGGTGGTTTTGTTACATTCTTCAGTTCTCTGTGTATCTCAGTGTTTCTTGATTTATGTAGTTTTCTCCAGTGTTTCTTGTCTTGTGTTTATTCCTCTGTGTGTTTCCCTCCTGTGTGATTGTCCTCATTGTCTTCACCTGTGTCTGATTAGTCTCTGTGTCTCATCCTTTCTGTGTCATTTCATTGTTTGTATGTCAGTTATCAGTGTCAGTAGATGTCCGGTTTCCTCGTGGTTAGTTTTCTCTTTTAGTAAGTTGTGTGTTTGCCATTTTGTTTAAATAAATATTTTTTGTTAGATCTGCGTCTGGGTCATCCTCTTAGTTTTTCTTGATCCATAACATAGTATCTGAGAAGCCAGTATCTTTTCACAAGTTACCATACAGCAGATCTGCAATATATTACAAATGTGAGCTTTAGTCTGTGATATTTTATTGTTCGGAAATGCTATTACATACATTTAAATACATTTTGTATTCAGTCCTTAATAGTTAATCTGTGCTGGGTCTCATCTGTCACATTATTCAAATGGTTACTCAAAGGAGAGGATAACATTCAACCAATCCGTGTCATCCTAATGGGAATCACCCCCCATTGCAGCGTCTTTTTCTTTTTTACCATTTCCACACAATAATTGCTCTAATATGCTGATCAAGCCATTTTGACTGTTCACACGCATCGTTGGCCACGGGGATAACGAGACGCCTGTAAATAAAGAAAGGAGGGAGAATAAAACCTGGCTCGTAGTAAGATGAGACTGCATGGGCTGGGGATGGTTGTCAGGACAACAGCCGGAGGAGACCGACAGGGTGTAGATGGAGGTCTAAATGAATGGTCATGCACGGTGAAGCACAGAGACATCCTCATGCAGCCCCGCAGCATACATTAGAGCCCAGGCAGGAAGTGAGTCTGATACACTCGGTGTGACCTCATAACGACGTGAAAGAGAAATGAAAGGGTCGAGAATCAGTAGGTTTCATATAGTGAATGATCTGTGAATTGTAGGGGGTGATCCGAACGGAGCGTCCAATAGCATCTGAATCTCACAAAAAGATACAGGAGGATTGTTTGTTTTTCTACAACTGTTTTTTTATTTAACCTTTATTAAAGTCTTCCTCTGTGATTTTTCACACTTAAATGTAGAAATCAAGTATCTCCTCTGAAAATAACTCTGTGAGTCATGACTGTCTACAATGGGTGTAACACCCGAGTCCCACTGTCTGTGATGTTTTCAGAGTTTTCAGAGTCCTATCTTCACTTTGTTTACATCGCCAGGACGGCCGGCTGACTCCTCCCCTCGTGTATAAAAGTTGTTTAATTGAGGGACTAGAGAAAAGAAGAATAACATACTGTACTCACTGCTTAACTGTGTTTCTAGATCACGCTCATTTCAGGTAAATTTACATGCAGTGTGAAGATACCAGCAGAATAAAGATCGCTAGCATTAGCATGCTAACACAACAATGCAGCGAGAGTTGTTTTGGTTTCATGCTGGAGCTCAAGGGCGACATCTGCTGGATCAAAAAATCACATATAAAGCCTTTAACCAGGTTGGTCCCATTGAGATTAAAAACCTCTTTTTCACTGAGACCGAGCCGAGACAGGCAGCAAAAAATAGAACCATCTATGAGTCATATCTGGGAATCAGTCGTTCAAACAGCTAAAACATCGACATCCTGCAGAATCTGCTTCCATGTCTTTCATTTTAGATTTAAAAACATTGAAGGACTCCTTGAGCTTTAAGTCATTGTGTAACAGATTCCAGGCTGAGGGTGCAGAGGACCCAGAAGACCTTTTCCCATTTTTTTGGGAACTGTACATAAGGGAGAGGGTGCATGTTGTTAAGGCACTGCAGGAAACACAATAGCTCCCAATTTCAGTCTTACAGTTCACAGAGGTAGACGGGGATCAACAGACCTGGTCCACATATTCATGATGGATAGATGCCTTCCAGTCAGTTCTAAAAATGGATGCTGAATGAATGAAGGATTCCTGACTTATTGTCTGCACAGCCTGGTAAACTGTTCAGTGTAAACAGCATCTTATGTATTATCTGTTTCTCTCTCTGTCTCTCAGGTCAATGTGGCTACTAAAGAAGCTCTCAGGACTAGTCGTCAGTGGTTGTGGATTCCTGAGGCCGGTCTCTATAGCAACCCCATCCTCCTCCTGACTACTGCTGCCAACTTCCTCTCCCTACCACGCGTCCAAATCTCTCCTCATCCCCCCCCGGCCAATCATCGCCCCTGAACCGCGCTGGGATGGACACAGAATCAACCCACAGCGGCTACTCGTATCACTCCAGCCGCTCCGGGAGATCAAACCGACATGGGTATGTTTCCTGTCTTGTTTGTCTTGCCACCTGACTGTCTGCCTCTCTCTTCTAACCCCTGATATGTATGGGAATGGATAGATGTAGGACAGAGATTTGGGTTGTCTTTGTGAGCAGCTCATGCGGGACATGTGTGTTGTTGTTTGTTGAGAAATGAATCGAATAAGCGACAGAGATTGACGCAGACAGAGTTTGTGGATTAGGGTCGTCACAGCTGAGTAGCTCTAACCTATTTCCTTCAGTTTATTCTGCTAACGAGAGGATCGTTTGATTGCCGTTCTTTGGGATCCTCACACTTGAGATTTTTCTACTGGAACATTATTTTCCTGTCACTCGACCAGCTTTTTGGCTGCAACTAGCAATTATTTTAATTATTAAATAATCAGTGTATTAGTGTCCATGTTATTGGTTAACCATTTGGAAAAATGGAATGGCAGAAAAAGTTAGATCAGAAAAAAACAAACAGTTTGTTACCCAGAGTCAATGGTCTTCAAATGTCTTCAAATGTCTTTATGTGTCAGACAAATTCTCTTCAACTAAACTTTTTTTTAACTTTAAAGTCTTAATCTGTGAATTTTCACGCTTAAATATAGAAATCAATGTTTTCAGAGTTTTCAGAGTCCTATCTTCACTTTGTTTACATCGCCAGGACGGCCGGCTGACTCCTCCCCTCGTGTATAAAAGTTGTTTAATTGAGGGACTAGAGAAAAGAAGAATAACATACTGTACTCACTGCTTAACTGTGTTTCTAGATCACGCTCATTTCAGGTAAATTTACATGCAGTGTGAAGATACCAGCAGAATAAAGATCACTAGCATTAGCATGCTAACACAACAATGCAGCCGAGTTGTTTTGGTTTCATGCTGGAGCTCAAGGGCGACATCTGCTGGATCAAAACATCACATATAAAGACTTTAAAGCATTTTAACTAGTCTTTCAAATTGTACAGTATCTCTCAGACAAATCAATCAGTCAAACAGATCCTCTCCAGAATAATATAAAACATGTTTATGAGTTTACATTTCTGATCTTGTGTGTATCCTGTTCCGCTTTTGAACTTCATCGTGTTTCTGTTTGAAGGGATCGCAGTCGTGAGCGGCACAAGGCCAGCAGTAAGGACAGCGTTCGCTCCGAGAGGTCGGTGGTCATCAACCCCCCTGACTCGCCCTCGCAGGAATCCCCCGTTCATAACGGAGAGCCGCTGCCGGGAGAACCCTCGCCTGCAGCAGAGCTCGGAGACGATGCACAGGTACGTCTACGAACAGGAAGTGCAACCTGTGAAGAAATGCAGAGGGGGTTTAAGTGAAGTGAAAATCAGAGAGTCCACTAATCCCTCTCTGTGACCTCTGCACCGCGACCTCTTAAACTCGTCCTCACACAGCTGGCCGCCCATCGGCACAACGCCTGACACATAAATAACAATGGTGACAAGGGATCCAATAGGTCAGAGGATTAGCATCCCTCTTGTAGGGCTGGACGGATTTGTACAGACTTCACTGTTACAGTGTGTGTGTGTGTGTGTGTGTGTGTGTGTGAGATACAGGGCCTGATAGCTTTGAAAGCAAACCAAATTGGTTCAAGTCATTCCATAAAGCTGATTTTTCTGAGCTATGAAAGGTTTCTAATTCAGGGAAACACAAAGCTGTGATAATGCAGCTGAGAGGAAGAGAGCATATTTAACTCCGCCCTGGATTAGTGATGCATTCACATTGTCATCATGTCGTCTGACTTTTGACATACTGGCTTTCTTGAAGAGTTGGGAAGACTGATATTCAGTTGTCAGTTTTATATAGAGCCACATCATCTGATCGTTAGCTTAGCTTAGCAAAACGTTTGGAAACAGGGAAACAGCTCGCCTGGCTCTGTCAAAAAATGTAAAATAAATTCACATATCAGCAACTCAGAAGCTCATGTTTGCTCATATTCCATCTCGTTAAGTCTTACTTCTCATCTCTAACAACTTAACTGTATGTTTTCCCTGGATGATATATGCTGAACTGTTTCTTTTTTAGAATACCTCAGATCTCATTTTGATGCATATTAAAGAAATGGCTGATTTAAGAGATGCAAGACGTGTTTTCTTCAAGTGTAGGCAGTAGAGTTCATTTTTGCAGCTCGCTGTCTTAATGCTAAGCTAACTGTCTCCTTGCTTCAGGATCATAATCAGCATTCATATACAGTAAGAGCCGTGCAACAAAAGCCCTCAGGGTTTGTCTGCTCGTGTTTATCTGTGAGAAAAGTAAAAGAAATGTGAGACAACCGGAGAATGAAAGAAGAGGTTTTATTTGTTCCTTTGTTTCTTTTTTGAAGACATATTTGGAGCTTTTTAACGTCTTTTCTTAGATACACAGGACGGTGGATAGAGTTGGAATTCAGGGAGTGAGAGTGTGAGGACATGAAGGAAAGGAGCCACAGGTCAGTTTTGAACCCGGGTCACCCGCTTCGATGACATCATGTGCAGCCTCTGTACATCGGGTGTGCAAACGAAACACTTGATGGTACTGAGAAAAAAATCATTTTAGATTCAGTTTTAAAAGAGAGATCTCTGCCTTGGGCTGCGTTCACTCTCTGACCTACTTGTTATGTAGAGAAAGAGAAAGAGAGCATTGAGTGTGTTAGTGAGAACAGGAGGAAACATGTGGACACATCTGACGAGAGCCTGAAAACCCCAAAGTCATGACGGTATATTTTGAAAAGAATAGAAAAAAGGACTTTCTGATGACTCCTGCACGCTCTGACCTATTTTACCGTCTCTCCCCTTCTGGCTGGGCCGCCACATTCCTCGATGTCATGTGATTGTCAGCTCGTAGCTTACGTCCATTGTCCGCAGTGTAAGCTAATCTGCCATTGTGCTGCTTTAGCCCTCCAGATGAAATTGTCCAAAATGGCACAAAAAAAGCAGAACCGTCATCCAGAGTCCACCACAGCCAGCTCTTTTTTTATTTTTTTGGTGCCGCTCTGTTTGATTTGAGATGTGCTGTAACACTAACAGGATGGAGAGGTGAGAGAGAGACTCTCACAGTCTGAGCTTAGCGTTAGCATCCAGCCAAACACCACTTTGAGGGAAGCTGATATGATTAATCCTCAAAGTTTACACGCATGCTTACGATACAGGGATACGGTTTTGGATCACAGCGTGTGTGTGTGTGTGTGTGTGTGTGTGTGTGTGTGTGTGTGTTTGAGAGAAAGAGAGAGAGAGAGAGAGAGAGAGAGAGAGAGAAATAGAATAAGCGCCAAGTCTGTTACTGACACTTTGCTGCTTTGTGAGACGCTGTGACTTTGTGCCAGAAGGCGACAGCTTCAGTTCACACTGTTAGCTCCAGAAACACCAGAGCGTATGTGGAGGAGCACATGTTTCTGTTCTGGTATTTACACTTCCTCTGCTTAACCTTTAGATATGTACACACATACCTAATCAAAGAAGTTACACTATTACAAGTTAGGGCTGGGCGATATGGACCCAAAGTCATATCATGATGTTGTTCAGCTGAAAGGAGATACCCGATATATCACATCGATATTTGTTTAGTAAAGAAATACAGAAAAACAAAAGTCAGTTCAAAGTCAAATCCACATGAGCCACAATCCAGATGTCACACAGTCACCCTGCTGCACGTCGTCAACATCTTCATGAAAATGATGTAAAAATAAACCAGCAGTTTGTGTTCTATTTATTTATTTATGAATATGCTATAATAATAATAATATATGCTCCTTAAAGCCTGACTCACTCTGCAGGATCATCGGAAATTTGAGTTCTGATTCTTCCTTCCCAACAATCTCAGGGTCTCTCCCGACTCGAGGCTGCTCGGACCCGACTCTCTGTTCAGATTATCTCGTAGTGTGAGCGGTCCAAAGATCCAATCTTAACATCCCCGATACAAATAGATACAAATAGATATTTACAAATATAAGTCCACCATGAGCAAGGCTTTAGAAGTGTCAAGAAAAGACTTCCCTTTAACGAGCAGAAACACACTCACATCTTCACCAGATGGTTCAGGAAAGAAACCAACGCCATTATTTTTGAACTCACTCTGAAACACAGAAACTCAAACACATCAGTGTGAAGATGTCATTTTAACCTCCACCCAGACTACTGGAGCACAGCTATTGTGTTCTGTTGCTGGCAGGCTGCTTGATGTGTGTGTGTGTGTGTGTGTGTGTGTGTGTGTGTGTGTGTGTTGTGTGTGTGTGTGTGTGTGTGTGTGTGTGTGTGTGTGTGTGTGTGTGTGTGTGTGTGTGTGTGTGTGTGTGTGTGTGTGTGGTGTGTGTGTGTGTGTGTGTGTGTGTGCGTGCGTGTGTTAGCTTTGGTTCTAATCAGAATGTTGTTGCGCTTTGTGACAGTGGAGCAGGCCTAACTGTAATCCTTATTCACCCTCTGCCAGATAACAAGACTGCCAAACAATTTATCTCTCCTCTCTCTCTCTCTCTCTCTCTCTCTCTCTCTCTCTCTCTCTCTGTCTCTCTCTTCTCTCTCTCTCTCTTTCCTCTCTCTCTCTCTGTCTCTCTTCTCTCTCTCTCTCTCTCTTTCTCTCTCTCTGTCCTCTCTCTCTCTCTCTCTGTCTCTCTTCCTCTCTCTCTCTCTCTCTTTCTCTCTCTCTGTCTCTCTCTCTCTCTTTCTCTCTCCTCTCTCTCTCTCTCTCTCTCTCTCTCCCTCTCTCTCTCTTTCCCTCTCTCTTCCTCTCTCTCTCTCTCTCTTCCTCTCTCTCTCTGTCTCTCTCTCTCTGTCTCTCTCTCTCTTCCTCTCTCTCTCTGTCTCTCTCTGTCTCTCTCTCTTCCTCTCTCTCTCTGTCTCTCTCTGTCTCTCTCTCTCTTCCTCTCTCTCTTCCTCTCTCTCTGTCTCTCTCTCTTCCTCTCTCTCTGTCTCTCTCTCTCTTCCTCTCTCTCTCTCTCTCTCTGTCTCTCTCTCTCTTCCTCTCTCCTCTCTCTCTCTCTCTCTTTCTCTTCTCTCTCTCTCTCTCTCTCTCTCTCTCTCTCTCTCTCTCTCTCTCTTACTTACTTGTACTCCTCCTCTCTTTACAGTATATAGAGATCAGGCCTGATTAGTGTGGCATTAATCTTTGGGATTAATCCAGGGAGACTTAATGGCTGGTTTTAACAGTGTATTAGCTCAGTAAGTGATACTCTGTGAAAGCTCGTCTGTGTAAAGGGAGCAGGATGACTGTAGGCTGATGTATAAGATCAGCTCTGAGTGTTTGCATTTACCTTACATACCTACCTTACCACATTTTCCCCAATAAATAGGCTTCCTGGTTCAATAGGGCATTGAACCAGTCTGCTCAATATCAGGACAAAACTAAAAATACCAGGACTAAAAATGAAAAAAATACCAGGACTAAAAATGAAAAAATACCAGGACTAAAAATGAAAAAATATCAGGATTAAAAATGAAAAAATAAAAATACCAGGACTAAAAATGAAAAAAATACCAGGACTAAAAATGAAAAAATACCAGGATTAAAAATGAAAAAATACCAGGACTAAAAATGAAAAAATACCAGGACTAAAAATGAAAAAATACCAGGACTAAAAATGAAAAAATATCAGGATTAAAAATGAAAAAATAAAAATACCAGGACTAAAAATGAAAAAAAATCAGGATTAAAAATGAAAAAATAAAAATACCAGGACTAAAAATGAAAAAAAATCAGGATTAAAAATGAAAAAATTAAAATACCAGGACTAAAAATGAAAAAAAATCAAAAAAATACTCAATTTCTGTTTTCACAACTGAAGACACAACACAACGTGACATGATATTATTTTGGTCTTCATGTTCGTTGAAGTGTTGAATGACATTGATTGTTCACAGACTCAGCTGTGAAGGTTAGGACCTGTTAAATGAGTCGGCTTAAGAAAGAAAAGATGAGCGATGTGAGAGGAATAGAAATGAGATGGGACTCTAAATGGACTTGGCACGTACTTATAAAGTTGACCTCTTTCTAAACACATTAGGCTCGGAGACACATGGATGGACATAAACACTACAGCCCTCTGCACCCCCCCCCAACCTCCTATCTTTCTTGACTCATTTGCTCCCTCTCCTCATCTTAGCATGCTCGTTCATCTTCCAGCTCCCGTCGGCAGCAGCTCCTGCAGCACTGCTGAGTTAATTAGCTGTGAACAGTAGGAAGGGCAGAAATCCTTTTCCTGCTTCATGATTGGAAATATGCAAACGCACAGCTGAATTCACGTTTCACATTCCACAAATGTCAGCAGTTTGCTTAATCAGAGAAAGTGAGATCATGTTTTAAGAGCCTGGACAGATTCTATACAGGTGAGATGTGGCTGTCTTCTGTTTGTGTTACTCACAGCCTGTCTGGATTCCCTGCAGCTTCCCCCACACACACATATGGATCAGGTTTGAGGCTTCACAGGCAGTTTGATGTGCTTAGGTGAATGTGTGTGTGTGCACACGTGTGTGAAGCCATGAAGGCTTGTTTGTTCAGCTTGTCATTTTTTTTTCAGCCCTCATTCGTCTCCGTGCAGCTGCGGCTCCTCTGATTGGTCGTCTTTGGAGGGATGTACAATGCAGCGATACTCTGGGGGACAATGAATTGCTAATTACCTGAATTACTGACGGGCACACAATAAAATGTGTCTCTCTTCACAGACTTGTCATGAATTTATACTCAGCGAGTCTTTGTTGGAAAGATTTATGCTTAAACTGACCCCGCAGGCTAAGAGGGAAAAAATGACTTTAATATGCAACGATAAGACAGGAATGTGTGTGTGTGTGTGTGTGTGTGTGTGTGTGTGTGTGTGTGTGTACATGTCAATGTGTCCTTCCCAGCCTGTCTTGTATGTCTTTACTGGGACTTTGAAGGTTTGTCATAATGACGCAGAGCTCAGTGAAAATGACTCATCTCCATGAAGACTGTTGTTCTGTCTTTTCTTTTGTAGTTACTGCCGCAAACAAGGGAGGAAAATGAGATAATGGAGGCATTGTTGTCTGTCAGAATCAGATTTCTGTTTATCATCTGATTCATGATCTATTCTCTGTTTCCAGCTAATTTAAAATAAAACATTTTTATCAATGCTAAATTAAAAAGTCCCCTTTAAATGTTCTCCACTCGCCCATTTCAATAGAGGTGAACAGAGTTTTGCTTGTGTTGACATAAAAGGCAGCGATATTTTAATATTCTTTAATTGAATGTTGAAGAGATTATATCTTTATTTAAATTTCTATAAAAACAACAAAACAACAGGGGCGCTGGTGGCGCAGTGGTTAGTGCGCACGCCCCATGTACGGAGGCTGTGGTCCTCCGGGCGGGCGGCCCTGGTTCGGATCCGACCTTTTGGCTCCTTTCCTGCATATCGTTCCCTACTCTCTCTCTCTCTCTCTCTCTCTCTCTCTCTCTCTCTCTCTCTGTGTCTCTCTCTCTCTCTCTCTGTGGTCTCTCTCTCTCTCTCTCTCTCTTCTCTCTCTCTCTCTCTCTCTCTCTCTCTGTCTCTCTCTCTCTCTCTCTCTCTCTCTCTCTCTCTCTCTCTCTCTCTCTCTGATTTCTGACTCTATCCACTGTCCTATCTCTACAATAAAGACACAAAAAGCCCCAAAAAAAATCTTTAAAAAAAAACAACACAAAACAGTTTAGCAGCTCTCGTCAGTGGGACAGTAAAAATGATCATGAAAAGACAAACATTAAAATCACATCATAATAACAATAAGAAAGCTCTGAGAAAGAAAGTGCAAAGCAGCTTCTTCATGTACGGGATGGCTTTTTGGGACAAAAGATGAAACATTATTGCTTTAGATCTTTTCACCTGAACTTCAGACAGCTGACTCAACATGAGCTGTCACAGATGTTTAAACAGGGTTTCCATTTTTCCTGATTCTGACGGGCAAATCAAAGGTTATGAATTATGAAGCAAATATAAGAGCTAGTGAAGTCACCAAGATGGCTGAAGATGATGAATAATATGTTGAACTAGAAGATAGCATGATAGCAGCCGTTATAAATCAAATGGAGACCTTTCAGACATGATCACGTTTAATGTTCTGGTAATGATGTTATTCCTCCTCCTCTCTTTTACGCATTGTGTTACCTTTCTGCTCATTGTTTTTGCTTCCATCATGCAGCTGTTTATATCACAAACTAAAGTTTTCCTCTTTTTAATCTGAAACTGCTTTCAGCGCTTTATAAGTTAAAATAGGTCAGTATTGATTTTACTTGATGCCCCAAAATGTCCAAAAAATATCAATAATTACTAATTATAATCAGAAAATCAACTATTCTGCTTCTTCTTCTTTTGTTACAAACGTTTCCCTTCCCTCACCTTCCCTTCTCTCCCGCCTCCTTCAGGATGATAACTGGGGGGAAACCACCACCGCCGTGACAGGCACCTCTGAGCTGAGTATTTCCCAGGAGGACGTGGTCGGTCTGGGGAAGGAGATCCAGGACCGGACCCAAGGCTTCCGCCGTTTTCTCCCCCTGGCTGTGGGATTGTGCGTCGGGCTGCTGGTGGTGGCCACGCCCCTCGTCTTCCTCCTCCTCCCGGTCGTCATGTGGCCCGACAGACTGCAGGCTTGCGGGGCCGCCTGCGAGGGCCTCTTCCTCTCCATCTCCTTCAAACTCCTCATCCTCCTGGTGGCCATCTGGGCCTTGTTCCTGCGACAGGGTCGAGCCGGTCTGCCCCGACTGTGTGTGTACCGCGCCTTCCTCACCACGCTCACACTCCTGCTCACCATGTCTTACTGGCTCTTCTATGGGGTCAGAATCCTCGATGCTCAGGTGGGTTTCAAGCTTTGCTCAAGTTAGAGCTTAAAAAAAAATCCCCCATCTTGAAAACTACATTATACCCTTCACTAAAACCTCCCAGGTTCAAATGTACTTAAAGGCTTTATATGTGATGTTTTGATCCAGCAGATGTCGCCCTTGAGCTCCAGCATGAAACCAAAACAACTGGCGCTGCATTGTTGTGTTAGCATGCTAATGC